GTTTCGAACTCCTGAGCTCGAACAATCCGCCTGCCTGGGCGTCCCAGAGAGCTAGGATTACAGGCGTGAGCTATGGCACCCGGCCAGGAGGATATTTAAATTAACAGTAGTTATCTCTCGGGAAGAGAATAAGATCTTTGAGGACGGAAGAACGAAAGAGCACTTTCACAGTTGACACTATATAAATTATTGTAGTATTTGATTTTATTTTTTGTGCCAAGAATATATTTATATATCACCTGTATAATGTTAAGAAAATAAAACATAATAAAAAGCTAAAACACATTTTAATGTCAGTAGTTAATATTTATTTCCTAAATGAAGATTCACTTTTGTAGAATTGTCATCTAATAACATGACATGCTAGTAGTATTTTTTAAATACCTTTTGCCTTCGGGCAAAACATTCCTTTTTATTTCCCTCATACATATGTGTGCCTCCATGCATCTTTTCTGCAGTATGAAAACAGTTTCCACTCCAGGAAACTGTCTATTCACAATATTAGGCCTCATTCTCCTGACTAACTAATATTTAGAGAGAAAATTATCAAGGATAAATTTTGGCATTATTACCACAGAACCAACAGTTAAGCAGGGTTGACAAATGTAGGTGGCAAGGAATTGCTTCTTTCTGTGGTTTCTGGAAGGAAACCACTGATCAGTAGAACTAGTGGGAGTCTCTTCCTTAAAGCCAAAGTAGTATATGGGAGCATGAGATACTGGTTGCCAGGCCTGGCTGGGAGGGCTGATGAGTAATGACTTCAAGTAGGAATTACTTCATGAATTTAAAGTTGACAAGTTATCTAGTGACATGAAACATTACTAGAACATTATTTAGTATTACAACACGCTATCACTGCGTGAAATGAATTAGATTTACATACTTACAGATTTCTTGTTAACCAGGAAACAGTTAGTATGTATTTTGCATTTTGATGTTATAAGATTAATTTAAAAAATCCCATGCTGTTAACATATGGCATGATAATGCATGAATCATGATAATTTATCTGACTGGTAATCATTTTAGCCTAAATTTTATTCCTGCTTTATAGAATTAAGAATAAAAAGTAAATACTATTTCATCCCCCAGTCAAATTCTGACTGTCTTGTGCAATATTTTATAGAATTAGTTTTACAGCTAAAAGAAGAAAACAATGTTTTCAACTGCTTAAGTTTACAGCCACAAAGCTATTAAATGTTCTCTGACCCCCCCCCCAAGTCCAATGTTTGTTGTCCATTGCAGGCTCTCCTATCAATTTCCTTTCTAAAACATCTTCCGTTACTCTTCTATATAACACTTCATTTTCACAAAAGTTCATGCTTTTTGTTATTCAGTTTACTACCAAATGACTCTGATCAACAAATGAGTATTTTTATCCCCTGCTTCAAAATTCCTACCTCCAAAATTGATCAATCCAGGAAGTCTTTTCTGACTTCAAGGATACTAAAAGTTGCAGTTTGTACCACTGTTAACTCAAATCATCTAAGAAAAATCTTCCTTCAGTATTTAAGCAACACCTATATATATGGCAATCACATTTTCTTAACTAAAATCCAGGACACATGATCTGAATCAAATAATTTTTTCTAATTCAGAAGCTTTTGTAAATATTCAATTTGAAAACATAAATAACAAGTTATATAACCAACTGGTTTTATTGACAAGATTAAAATTACACACAATTAGGGTTGTCCCAGAAAATCATAACAATATTCTGAAAAAACTGTCAAAACTAAATCAAGAAATTTTCTGATTAATTACTAGTTTTGTTGAGGGAAGAAGACAGCTATCCTTCTGCTGTAGTTAACAACTCTAGCTAAGTATTTTGTTGATATTTCACACAACTTGTCAAGTTCATTTATTTGCCAAAAGAGACGTGAAGCTACACTCTTCATGTAAGAACAAGGTCTGAAAAGATGACATATCTTCACCCTCAAAGACTCCTAACTAGGTAAGATGACAAAGCTGGTGGCATCAACAGAGGATGCACATGCCAGGCAATGCTCTTTCCTGCCCCACGCCTGGGCAGTAGACTAGCTATATGGCCAGCTAAGAAACAGAAACTGAGAACATCTTGACAGAAACATCCCTTTGGAGTTTTTTCACCAAATTAAATCAATTAATTGATGGACATATGATTTGCCTTATTCAGGCTTAAGATATAGGATATATTTTAGAAGGAAAATATTACAGATAATTCCCAAAGGTAATAAAACCCTAATACAGAGTTAGTGCTCCAATATGTCATGTGGGTGATAGAGAAAAAGACAAAAACAAACAAACAAAAAAACTCCCAAAACCATAGTTAAGAATAAAAGAATTCAAATATTCTGATAGTTTAAACTTTCCAAAATACCACATAAGGCATATTAATCTAGGTATAGAACACAGGATAAAATTACTGCATCAATACTTGCACGTGAATTACTGTAAAGTAATTCCAAAATAAAATAAAATCATAAACTAAAATAAAATAAAATACAGTGCTACAAGGAAAAGAAACACTTCATAATCTACCAAAGATATTCAACTTTTCTACTTTTTCTTTTTACATAAAAATGCATATTTTACAATGAATATATATGTCAATAAAACTGTATTAACTTTTCATCCACAAGCTTTTAGTAAACAGCCTAATATAATGTTGATTTGTCTTAGCTATATTGGTCGTAACTTCTCTTACTATTAACAGTTTGTAGACAAAATTCAATCCCTTAAATGTTTCAGAGAAAT